GTAGCGATAGGCGGTTTTGCGGCAGCCAAGAAAGGAATCCTCACGAGTGTGGCGGCAGGGAACGATGGTCCTTCTGCCTCGACGGTGGTCAACGATGCACCCTGGCTTCTCACTGTCGGAGCAAGCACAATTGACCGAAGGATTCGGGCCACGGCAAAGCTGGGAAATTTTTGATGGGGAGTCTGTGTTCCAGCCCAGAAACTTTTCTTCTCAAAAGATCTGGCCACTCGTCTACTGCAAAGAGTGCTCCAGTGAGTCGCTGGCAAGGTTCAATGTCAGAAACAAGATTGTGCTGTGCGATGGAGATTTTATAACTTGGTCATCCCCGAGTGTTAAGAATGCCGGTGGTGCCGCTATGATAATGGCCCACAGCGAAGATGCCGGGTTTAGCCACGAGTCTTATCTCGTCGACTTACCATCCACGGCGGTGTCCTTTTGGGCGGGCCAGGATATTAAGACCTACATAAATTCTACATCCTCCCCAAGGGCAACAATCTTGTTCGAGGGGACACAGCTTGGTGACCCATTTTCTCCCACCGTCACCTATTACTCGTCCAGGGGGCCCAGTACTAAAGTTCCGGGGGTTCTGAAACCGGACATCATTGGGCCGGGCAAAAACATTCTGGCCGGGTGGTCTCCCCTGGACCCGCGTCATTTGGGGACCACATTTCAGATCGTTTCGGGCACATCTATGTCATGTCCTCACCTCAGTGGGGTTGCAGCCCTGCTCAAGAGCGCCCACCCCGACTGGTCAGTGGCGGCCCTAAAATCGGCTATCATGACCACTGCGGATCTCATCAATGCCCACGGCGTACCGATTCTCGACGAGAAATTTAATCCAGCCAATATATACACTGCTGGTGCCGGCCACGTCAACCTGAACAGGGCGCTGGATCCTGGTCTTGTCTACGACATTGCAATGGATGAGTACATCCCGTTTTTGTGCGGCTTGGGATACACGGAGGACCAGGTCAAGATGATCACGCAGGAGCCAGCCGATTGCTCGTCCAGAATCCCTCAGGGCCAGCTCAACTACCCTACGTTGTCGGCTTTTCTCGGCTCGTCCCAGACTTTCTCTCGGACCGTCACCAACATGGGCGAGCCCGTCTCATGTTACTCCGTGAGAATAGTCGAGCCCCTGGGAGTGAATGTTGTCGTGAGACCATCGAGGATGTGTTTCACGAGGTTGAAGCAGAAAGCGACGTACTACGTGACGTTTCGCCGTAGCAAGAAGATGACCTATTGGGGGAACAATGTATCTGTTGCACAAGGCTTCTTGCT